CTAAGTCCAATTTCACTCTCTTAGCCTATCCGAAACTCACCCAAGCCCTCGGGGCTCCAACTCAAACATGCACACGAGTCTAAAAACATCATACGAACTTGCTCGCACGATCAAATCGCTAAAATAACACCTAGAACTACTAATTGAACACCAAATCAAATGAAATTTTCAAGAAAGCTTTGAAACTTCTATTTTCACAACTGGACGTCTGAATTACGTCAAATTAACTCCGTTTCTCACCAAATTTCACAGACAAGTCATAAATATGGTATTGGACCTATACCAGGTTTCGAAACCAAAATACGGACCCGTTATAAACATTTCTATTTTATTAAGCCTTTAACTTTTAAATTTTGACAAAGTCCGATATCTCGGGCTAGGGATTTCCGAATCCGATTCCGGGCGTACGCCCAAGTCCCAAATCACAATACAGATCCACTGGGACTGTCAAAACATGAATCCAGGTCCATTTACCAAAATATTGACCGAAGTCAACTCAAATGATTTTTTTTGGCAAGAATTCTTATTTTTATCAGTTTTGACGTAAAAGCTTTTCGAAAACATGTTCGAACTGCGCATGCAAATTGAGGAGAGATAAAATGAGGTGTTGAAAGCTTAAAAGCGTAGAATTGGGTTCTAAACATAAGATGACCTTTCGGGTCATCACAACTAATAAGGTGATCGAGAATAAAACATTCAATACTATGTTGATTATACACATTTTGGAGCATCTAGTCACTCATTATACCGGAGCATGTAGTCACTTAAACTTCAGGATTTGTTTTCTTATTTATTCACCGATCAAGCATTCGAGCGATATAATGAACCGTTGAGAATAAATCCTTGTCACATATATGTATGTGTAAATTATCACATATGAAATAAAATCATACACTCTATTATAATCTTTTATACGTATACGGTTATGAAGTGTAATTTATGCGAAAGCACACATAAGATAAACATTATAAATGTAATTGATCGAGTTTAATTGAAATAGTCGATATATCCAACAAGCTATGATGCACTTAGTGCCGTAGTAATAGATATAATAAAGTGTATCGTTGATAGATAATATATATATATATATATATATATATATATATATAAATATATATATATATATATATATATATATATATAAATATATATATAAGCATAAAGGCCCTTTGCTAAACGTTATTTGGTCTTTAAAAATTAATTTTATATTGGACAAAATTATAATTTAAGTTACTTTCTTAATATTTAGGACTTTAAAATCTATTAAACATTTTCTTATGAAACTGTTCCATATTTGAACTATATATGATGTCCTATTATTTAGAATTAAAAAATTTATGCGAATAAGGAATAAACTTATAAATATTTCTCCAACAAAGGTAACCAATCCAATTGCATAACATCTCTAAAATTGTATTGGACTTTCAAAAACTTAGAGTCCATTACTCAAATGGTCACTCAACTATCCCAAATTATCTTCTAAAGTCACTTTTCTTTCGTTTGTAACAACAAAGTGACTGAACTATGCCTAATACAATCAGAAGGTCACTCAACTAGATTTTTCAAATTTTGGATTACCAAATACCTATTTTACCCTCTAAATTATAAACATTAACCTTCTTTTTATTTTATTTAAAACTTTTTAATATTACGATTTTCCCTTTTTAATTTATATTATAGACTTACCTATAAAATAAATAAATATTATTTATAAATTACAAAAATAAAAAGTATTTAAGCATATGTAATGCTGGAATAACAAAATAATGAGCATAGTAAAAGAATTAGTTAGAATAATTTGTTAGTAATAATAATTTTAGTATTAACAACAAAAATTCAAAAATTTTTTTACACAATTCAGAATGAAAGAAAATAAAGGTTTTAAAATATATATTTCATGCATGTAATATAAAATTAAACTTTTAAATAAAGGTATTTTTATAATATACATTATATATTCTTGAAAATTATGCTCAATTATATTATATATATTCCATGCACGACTTAACGTAGCATATTTTACCCCATACAGATAGTCCCCCTGCTTTCCGGTGACATAACATTGTGTCGTCGGAAAGTTGGTAGAAACATAATAATGTAATTGAGCATAATTTTCAAGAATATATAATGAATATTATAAAATACCTTTATTTAAAGAATTATTTTTATATTTCGTGCATAGAATATATATTTCACAACCTTTATTTTCTTTCATTCTGAATTGTGTAAATAAATATTTGAATTTTTGTTGTTAATACTAAAAGAAGATAAATGGTTATAATTTCGAGGGTAAAATAGGTATTTAGTAATCCAAAATTTGAAAAATCTAGTTGAGTGACCTTCTGAGTGCAATATGCATAGATCAGTGACTTTGTTGTTACAAACGAAAGAAAAGTAACTTTAGGAGATAATTAGGAATAGTTGAATGACCATTTGAGTAATTGACTCAAAAAACTTATTAGTTTCCGACAATAGCTGACTTTGAAGTAAGTATGGACGAATTGTTTACTTAATATTTAAATCATAAATATTTTTTATAAGCTTGGTTATAAATCTGTTCTTTAAAATTTACTATGGCAAGTATTGCTATAAAAAATAAATACATGTTATAAAATAACGACTATAAAGTAAAGACAAGTATAGAGAGAAACTGATATATTATTCAACTTCAAAACTGACGTACATAATGAACTGAAATCTCCTCTATTTATAGAAGAAAGGAAGCTGCTGTGTAAGCTGCTACTGCAAGCTGCTGTGTAAGCTGCTTGTAAGTTGCTTGTAAGCTGCTACTGCAAGCTGCTGTATAAGATGCTTTTAAGTTGCTTGTAAGCTGCTACTGTACCAGATATAGATAATCTTCTACCGGGGGGGGGGGGGGGGGGGAGTAATATTTATCCATAACGGAATACCGAAATGATAAGCTTCTTTAGGAGGCTTATTTCCAATAGAGTACTAAATAGATAAACATATTTACGGCGGAGTCCCATATGGATAAGCTTCTTTAGGAAGCTTATTTATAACGGAGTACTAAATGAACATTCATAATATAATATATATTTATAACACTCCCCCTTGGATGTTCATTAAAAGATAATGTGCCTCATTAAAACCTTACTAGGAAAAACCCCGTGAAAAATATTCTAGTGAAGGAAAAAGAGTACACATATTTAGTAATACGTATTGCTAGGTGCCTCATTAAAAACCTGTAAGGAAAACTCCGTGGGAAAAAATCTTAGTAAGAAAAAAAAGAGTGCATCGCGTATTTTAATCCCCCTGATGAAAACCTTGTTTCAAATATTCGAGTCTCCGCATTCTAATCTTGTATACCATCTTCTCAAAAGTTGAATTTGTAGAGAGTATTATCCACCACTATTTCAGATCGATTTAAATTAATCTCATCAAACTAAGAAGCTGCTGCAAGTCATTTCATTGAGTTGTTTGCAACCTGCCTGCATCACCTGCTTGTAGAAAACTTCAATGGAGTACTAAATGGATAATCTTCTTTAGATTTTTATTCTATTTTTAGTGCTCAAACCGAAACCTCTAATTAAAGATAGAAGCGTCAAACCCGGGTGATAATTTAGAAATTTAGACAAAAGAAGGTTAACTTTTTGGAAAGACAATACAAATATTACTTTTAAAATTCAAAAAGTAAGTCTGCATAATATATATTTTTAAACCTTAAAACAAATAAGTAAGTACCATCTAGATTCTCTTTCTTCAAAAAGGTTTATTTATTTATTTATTTATTTGATACTTCTTTATTATATCAGAAAATGAAAAGTTTAAAAGGAAAAAAGAAACAGAAGAACTGAAAACGGAATATGCACGTTGTGCCCCAAAGCATAGACTTAATGGTTAAGGATTCAACATTTATCTTTTCTTTATATACAGTTGGAATCTGTCAAACTTTGTTAACATTTGAGTTGTCAAATACTTCATCTAATCAAACACATAAATGTTTCTAATTCAGTTATGGTATGCTAAATTTGTCGATCCTCAACGTGGAAAAATAGTTGAAGAAGTATAAAAATTCCCATATTTGAATTTTAATGACGAGATTTTATTTTATATTTTCATTTTTTCAATTAATAGACATATTCATTTTTCCAGAAAAAAAAGATATATTCCTTATTGAATTATTTTTTTGTGACTGACCGATTAGTTGTCCTAAAAAATAAGCTAAAATCTTGTATTTTCCCTCTCCTCACCATTTTCACAACTACTTGATTAATTTTTTTAACCGAAGTTTCTAGTGTATATCAAAATCATAGTCACGTGTATCTGAGCAAAACTAAAGGGTAATACTATAAATCAGATTTATAATCAATTTAGAACTATATGTTAGATATTACAATTTCACAACTTGTCATAAAAGAATCAAAACGTGAAGTGCTACAGTATATGGCAAACTAGTGGTGGCGAAGTGGACAAAAAACCATTATCCAACGATCACTAAAATGGGCTAGATAATAAGATTTTAAAAATCGGGTCAAATATGAATAAAAATCATATTATCCACTTAAAAAATAGATAATTAATGGATAACTAATAATTTTAATTTTTATATTTTAAAGACTCAAATTGTGGTTGGAATTCCACCAAAAGTGATCCAATTTAAGAAGTCATGAATAATATGGTTGGTTAACTCATTTTCTATCCATATTAAATATGAATCAAATCGAGTATTTACCCGTTTTGGCCCTTAATATTCATTCCGTCCCCCTCCCCCCCGTTTGATGCCCTTATGACAAACAAATGATATAATGCAATAAGTTTGATAGTTGTAAAAAGAATAAGTTTGATTTACACAGAGAATTATAAGATTCTCATTAAAAAAAAAAAAAAAACAGCAAGGAAATCGGGTAAGAATAAAAGAATACTTACACTTTTTGTACACGTAAAACTGTTCCGACAATTTTAAATTTTTAAAAAAGAGAAGTCATTTTCAACCACACATTAGCTGCTTTGGCCCGTTTACATAATCTTACCCATTACCGTCACGGAAATAATTTTTTTTTCATACACTCACACATATAAATAGTGAGAGAATCATCAGGTACACAAAGGTACATCACAATGGCGATGGAAAGCCGAAATAGCTCCGCCGTCAACGGCGTCGATATCTACCACCTGCCGGAAGGTTGCATAGCGAACGTTCTATCATTAACGTGTCCGAGGGATGCGAGTCGGTTATCGCTTGTTGCTTCAACTTTCCGGTCCGCTGCTGAATCGGATGCCGTTTGGGACCGGTTTTTGCCGCCGGATTATCGTGATATTATTTCCCGGTCTAGTGATCGACCGGATTCGGTTGTGTTCGGTTCGAAGAAAGAGCTTTATCTTTATCTCTGTGATCATCCTTTTCTGATTGACGGTGGCACTAAGGTAATTTATCGCATACATGATGGATTATTTGATACATATGATTTTTTATTTTATTTTTCTGGTTCGCGATAGTGTTATCTACTATGTTTTCTTTATTTTGATTTCGTTGGAAATGATATTTTTAATCTCGAATTTTTTGTTTGTTGTTTGAGAATTCGAAAAATGTGAATTTTTTGTATGGAATACTTCGGAATGAAGTGCATTCGATCGAGAAAATACACACACAAAAAAAGGCTTGTTATTATAGTTGGATATTATATTCTACTATGCGTCTGGTGGAGTAAGGTCGTTTATTAATTATTTTTTTTTTGGTGTGTATGTGGGGATTTATTTTTGAGAGGACTAATTTTGAGTTTGTTCTAAGATTGGTTTTGGTCTGTTTTGTTTTTGAAAACAATTATTGCGGATATACTCATAATATCTTGTTCGAATTCAAGTTATATACGTTGACATCGTAGAGGTCTCGTTATATTATTCTGTGATAGCATGTTAATTACTTACTTTTACCAAGATAAATAAGTGCTCTGATTGTGAAAATAATTTTACGCTGTCAATACATAGAACTTAAACTCATTTTGTTATAGTTGGAGATTACATTCTAAACCAAAACAAGCGTCAGGACTAGAAATGATTTTATTTTAGTGATGATTTTATTTTAGTGTTTTTTTGGACAACCGTGGTGTTCAGGCAGCTTGTGCGCACCCCTGCCACTTCCCACCAGGTAACTCTATTCACCAAGGTCACACATGGGACGAGATCACCTAGTGTTTTTTTGCTTCTGTTCACTTACTGTTTTTCACCCGTTTCATTAACCACTAGGCCATACCTTCCTTCGGGTAGTTTGTTTAGTGTTTTTTTTTGAGTGTTTGGATTTGATTTTGAAAGAATTGTTTGTAATTTGTCAGGAGAGAATTGATTTTGGTTTGTTTTGATATGAAATATAATGTGAAACAATTTTTACTCTAGAACATGTTATTTTTGCACAACAATAAGAATGTTTTGCTCATATGTTTACTCACATGGATTGAACTAGTGAAGAAGATATACTAGTCAGTCATTTCACAAGTGGATAACTGCGACTTTTTCTTTTTGCTTGTGTCACTCAAGCAAATAGAGTAGTTTAAAGACCGACTTCAACGATATAAAAGCTATCTGGCAGACTGTGAGGTAATTGCCAAAAGAAACGTATAGAATATGGGAATTATACCGATGTGAAACATGCAGAAGAAAAGATAGTGGTTCAAATTATTCCTGGAATCTTCTCTTTCAAAGATTAAAGTGATCCATCGGTCACATAGACATTAAGTATGTGCTAGTTCTTGGTAATTTGAACTCATTGAAAGCTGATATCTTTCCTGTATTCGTCAAGTCCATGTGTGAGAGAGACGATCTGTTTGCAATTGGCTACATCAACATTGATGCAGAAGATGGAAAGTTGAATACAGTGTTAGAACCTTATATAGTGGTGCCTGCTAACCATATTCTTTTAAATTCTTTTTTGAATGGTATTAACATTTTGTGATACACAAATCAAAGCCTTTTCACGTTCACATTACCCCCTTTTCCCTCTTTTATCTTTTGGGTACCAAAGGAAATTAGAATATTTGAAAAAAAAAAAAAGCAACAGGATCACAGTTGTCCACTTGTGGATAGGTGTGGATCCACCATTTTGTCGTTAAGTACATATTGATATCGCCTTGATCACATTGTGTATTTTCTGCTACACTTTTTTTCACATGTGATTAGCTCATTTTTCCTATTTTCTCTACTTTGAGCAACTATTGCTGGGCTTAGTTTTTTTTCTTGCTTGCTAAGCTTACTTCTGACTTGGTATTGATGGAATGTAGAGCTTCTCATTGGAGAAGCGCAGTGGAAAGAAATGTTACATGTTAGCTGCAAAGTCACTTGCAATTGTTTGGGCTGACACACCTAGGTATTGGAGATGGATCTCCCTTCCCGAGTCCAGGTATTTCGTTTGACTAGTAGTAACTTTTATTACGGGGTGGAAGAGAAGTCCTTTTCCTCTACGATTAGTACTTGTTTTTTCATTTGCAGTCTAGTTCTAAGGATAAAAGTTATGCTAAAGTGAAGAAGAGTAGAATCTTGGTTCTTATAAGATGCCATTTTGTCATTCTCAAGTTGATCTAATGTGATGTTTTTGAAACTAGGTTCTCAGAGGTCGCTGAGCTTCTTGACGTTTGCTGGTTTGACATTGCCGGCAAGATAAACACTTCTATGTTATCCCCTGACACCAATTATGCAGCGTACTTTGTGTTCACAACGAAATCCAGGACATATGGATTTGATCACCAAAGTGCAGAGGGTGCATTAGGGATTTCGGGGCATGAAAGAAAATCACATACAGTTTTTCTGGATCCAGAGGCAGCACGGAGGCATATGTACCAAATTGTTCCAAGGCGGCTGGGACTATTGAACCAGATGGCGAATATCCTAAGACGGGAAGTGAATCCACCTTCAGAAAACGAAGCACAAGCACGATATCCACAACAGAGAAGTGATGGATGGTTAGAAGTTGAGTTGGGAGAATTCTTTGTCAAGAGAGGGCAAGAAGTAGAACTGGAGATGAGCTTGACAGAGATCAAGGAAGGTAACTGGAAAAGTGGCTTAGTTGTTGAAGGGATTGAAATCAGGCCTAAGGAGGGCTAATGATTTGATTTTGAAAGTTCATATGGTGTCTGTGCTAAGCCACTTTTCAAGTGAGTGCAAGAAAAAGAGGTAGTAGAAGCTACGAGGCCTAAAACCGTTGTCCCACGTGTGGCTGGGGAGATCTTGACCACAAGAGTTGCACAAGTTTCAAGAATTGAATCACCATTGCAGTCAAGTTGGTACTAAAAGCTAGTACGTGTATAGTGTCATAAGCATTTTATATTTTCTTGTGATTTGTAATGTGTCCCCTGTCGTTTTTTTCTGTAGTTATTTGTCTTAAATAATTTGTGGAACTCATATGCTGCTTAATACTCTTTGTGGGTGATGTCACTCGTATACTGTTGTTTAACCGAAAAAAATAGATTTTTGGTCAAAGCTTATTTTTAGAAGAAAACGGGTTATTGATAACTAAATTTTACTCTACTTTCACAATAGGCTATTTTACAAATAGTGAAAATTATAGAGAGAATTAACAAAGAGAAATAATGGATAAATCAATAATCAATCCCTAAAATCAAGGTTATAAAGAGAATTATATAATGTATTTCAGTAGTACTTGGAACTTGTTCTACAAATAAAATTCTGTAGCCTTATATAGGAGTGTACAATCATAACGGTTTTTTCGCATAATCTGAATTTATTATGGACATTAATCGCATTAATTGCCCCTTACCACAGATAACCGTAACTGGTATATTTTATTGATATAAATGCTTTATAACTGCTCCAAATCGCCTTCCTTATTTACTTCTGGTTCATGTATCTTCCCTTCTTTTTTATCCTTATTCATTCCGTCCTCGCCTCTTCTTTGACAACTGTCAGGCCTGGTCTTTTTCTCTATACTGTCTTGTGGGTGTTTTTGTCGTGCTTTTTTCGTATTCTTAACTCTATTAATTGAGAATGCCACTCGTCGCTATATCACTGCTCCACGCGTCATGTTTTGTCGGTATACTAACATTGCACGTGTAATGACTATCATGTCTCCTTCAGAATCGATGCGATGCACATCACATCCATTTAATACGCATGCCACGTGGCTTCTAACGATTAGCTCTGCAATTTTCAGCGTCTTTTTAGGGTTTTTATGCAACTAGGTCAGTCACGAAGTGACTGTTCCATTATGACGCTTCATAATGATCAACTTTAACAATGGTCGTGTCTCCTTATGAATTCTTCATTCTTTTTTGATTTCTTAGAGTCTTCTTTCCTCGGTATCCATCATCTTATTCCTTCTTTGCATTTTCTGCATCCTTCCTTCTGTACTTCTTTGGACAATTCACCAGACCCTCGCAAGGTTGTGATTGTTGACGAATTTGTTCTTTATAATGCTCCTACTGGAATTAGGAGGGGTGGTAGGCTCCGTAGTCTTGGTTCAATATCTAACCGTGGTTCTTCTTACCAGAGTAGTGCTGCTAAGCCATCTTCTTCTAGGCCTAGAGCCCCTTTAACCTCTAGATCTTCTTCTAGGAATAGAGATTTAGCTGATCCTGTGCGTGAACCTACAGTTACAGAGATTGTTCCTTAAGAATTTTCTTTTGCTATTGATCGTGAAACCATATGAAATCAAGTTTCTTCTATGGCCTCCCTCAATCCTGCTGTCCTTTACCCGATTTTGATCACTACTGGTCTTTTTTCCCTGGTTCGAAGAAAGTGTCACTGAAAACAAGATTTCTCCAGTTTTAGTTCCTGGTGCCAACCAGAGAATTACTTCCTATCATGCCGGTTTTTCTTTTGTTTATACCTACCCCTTCACTTTAGGGTTCAAACCTCCTATTGATCAAGTAATCATTGAATTATGTCGTTATTTCAACGTGTGTCTTGGCCAGATTGGCCCCATAGTATGGAGGGTTGTTGCATGCCTTCGTTATTTAGCAGATTTGATTTCCATGCCTTTCACTTTTCGGCACTTGCTTCACCTGTACTCCCCCAAACTGTTTCGCGAAGGTGTTTTTACCCTCGTGACTAGAAGTAAGAGAGTTTTGGTTAGCCCTGAAGCCCTGAAGACGATCGGGACCGTGGCTGGTATGCATGTTTTGTTGTTGCTCCCATCAGTGGATTAGTAGGCGAAGAAAACATGCTTTTCCCAGAGAAATGGAACTTTGCATGTAAGCTTTCTCCTTTTTTTTAAATATCTCAAAGGACTTCATTATAATCATACACTCAATTTTTCAGCAACCATGGACGTTTTTGATAAAATTCCCAACTTCCGTGCTTGGGTAAAAAAAATGTTAACAGCTGCACCTATGGAGAAAAGGTCCTGGAAATACCTTTCTCAAAAATTCGGTTGGAAAGTGAAGACACACGGTAATTTTTACCTTCACTGTCTTTCCTATTCTCTTCCTTGTTTGTTCAAGAATTTCTCATCCTTCTCTTTTTTATTAGGATTTTCTATTCGTGGCATTAGTCCCGCGTCTGTTCCGTCAACCAGGCTTTCCGTGAGTTTTGCTCAAGAAAGAATTTTAAGTGCTTCTTCTTTGAAAAGGAAAACTGATGGAGCCCGTGGCTCTGATGGCGAAGAGGAGATAGAGGAGGGTTCTTTAGTACGAAGACCACGAGTCAGGAGACATGTGATTTCTGATGATGAAACTACTCCTTCTCGTGACCCTCCAACAAGTTTAATCCCTTTTAGACTCACGATGAGCCAGAGAGTGTTCCTTTAGTGATTTCCGATAAAGATGTTGTTGATCCTCCCCCAGGTTCTGTTGATAGATTATTTGCTCACGGCTTCGAGGGTGATGAAACTTTTGGGCCTGTTTCTGAAGAATTGCCCCTTGCTTCCCTTCCAGTTTCAGTTTCCATTAACCCCTCTGTGTCCTTACCTGATGTTACTCTTGATGTTACTCCCGTGGCTGCGTCCACCTCATCTTCTATTCCCATGGCTACCTCTCATGCAGAGACAGGACCGTCTAGCATCAGGATGGGAATGAAAAGAGTTGTTGTTGAGGTTCCTGAAGGTGGGAACTTATTAAGAAAATCTGGTCAAGCCGATGAGTGTTTGAAGCCTCTGCTAGGCCCTGTAGAGAAGAAGAAGAAGTTAGAAAGCCGTAGCTTTCTGACTTTAATGAATGATATCGTTCATTCTTCTTTGAAGGTATATGCTTAATTATATTTCCTTTCTTTTCTCTTTCTCATTCTTAACTCTTTCTCCCTTTTTGCAGATCAACTTGATTGGCACAAAGCTTATGAAAAGAGTTTCTCAGGCGGAGCAGCAAGTTATAGATTTTTGCACCGAAGCTGACAACTGAAGAGAACAATTCAAAGGTCTTCAACTGGAAAAAGAGGTTCTGGTAGAAGAAAAGAATGCTTTGGAACAACAAATGAGGGTGATTGCTGCTGAATTAGCGGTTGAAAAATCTTCTTCTAACCAGGTTGGAAAGGACAAGGATATACTTGAGTCCTCTTTTGCTGAACAATTTTCCAAGGCAACTGAAGAGATAAGGAGTTTGAAGAATCTCCTTAACCAGAAAGAGGTTTATGCGGGAGAATTGGTTCAAACACTTACTCAAGTTCAGGAAGATCTCCGTGCCTCCACTGATAAGATTCAGTTCTTGGAAAGTTCTCTCACTCCTTTGAAGACAACTTACGATGCCTCTAAAGTAGAAAAAGAAGAGTAGAGAGATGAGATTGACCAGTGGGAGAAGGATTATGAGATTCTCGAGAATAAACTATCGTTGGATGTAAGATGGGCTTTCTTAAACACTCTCCTCGAGACTCTAATTGAAGCCAACCAGGAGGGTTTTGACCTTAATTCTGAGACTGCTAAGGCTAAAGAAGCAATTGATCAAACTCAGCAACGTCAAAGCTTTTCCTCACTTGAAGACGAAGGTCTTGAGGCTGATGGAGATGGACTTGTTCCTGGTGAGTCTAATTTTCAAGCCTCTTCTTCTCAAGTTAATCCTTCTTCTCCCGTTGATGACGCTCCCGTGGATGATGCTCCTTAGTTTTTTCCTACTTTTTTGTTTATGTTTGTTTAGCTTAACAACTTTTTTGGAAGTTTGTTGCTTTTGGGAAGGTTGTTTTTTGGTTACTGATGGAAACTAAGGGTCTACCAAACCATATAGAGAACCAGTTTCTCTATTAGTTTCCATAGAACACACGTACACTGCAGTAAGTAAATGACACAATGGAGTTTTACGTGGAAAACTCCCAGCTCACGGGATTAAAAACCACGACCTACTCTTGTAGGATTTCAACTTCACTACTGAGCAAACTTCAGATTACAACCTATTGTAACCTAGGAATTAACCTCTTAATCCCTCACTAACTTGTAACACCTCTATTACAAGCCACTTTGTAATAACTCTATTACAAAGGTTTACAACTCGACTAACTCTAGCCAAGACACAAACACAAAGGTTTATGATTTACAAAGGTTTCCTACACAATGCTTCTAACTAAGCTAAGTAGGAATTACAAGTAAAGTACTTTAACAAAGGTGCAACACAACTAAGGACATGTAATAACTCGATACAGGGAACTGGTCCATTGTTATGTTGTTCTTTGTTCTTGATGCCCTTGAGAATCACTTGCCAGATTGATTGATCACTTAAGAGAATGCTTGATTAATTCTTGAATGTGCAAGTGTTTTTTTACCTTTTCTTGATGTTAATAATTCATTTGTGACATCACTTGAATGATGTAAGCAAGTTAGGTAAAGGGCATTCCCCATAAAGTTGACTGCTGCATTATTTTTGCATTGTTGCGTGTGCAGGCGCAACTTTACAGTTGTGGGGGGTTGACTTGTACAGTCACCACGCGAACTGGTAGCTATCTGTTCCCTCTGTTGTTCTGACTCTGAAGAGTTGAACCGCATCCCCGACTGGAGACTTGTTGATCTTAAGTACTTGAGGATGTGTAACGGGTTCCTTATCTGGTTCTTAACAATAAGTTTGTTCGATCATAAAAACATAACAGGGATACACATATAACCTATCAATTTCTCCCTTTTTGATGATGGCAAACTTATAATTTAAGTTCCCCCTAAGAACCAGAATGACATTCGCATTTCCTGTATTCCCCCTGAATCTGTTTCCTATCTTGTTCCCCCTCAATTACCCCCCCCCCCCCTCTTTTGGCATCATTAAAAGATCAATAGCAAGCAATAAGCAAAAAGAAGTCTAGCTTAGTTAACTCATGCCACATGTGTGCACACAATCATGACTAAAACTAGAGTAGAAGCGCAAGGCATACACGACAAAAGAATGAAACTTTCATTAATTTTGGATAATTAAGTAGGGAGCAGTTCCATTGTTACCAACACATCTACAAAATAAAAACAACAAAAAAAGGTACCAGTCATAAACATCATTAGGACTCAAACAGAGGACAGACACTAGGAATCTTGACACATGGAAGGGGACACTTTTTAGGGAGCA